TTGAGTACTGCTACATGTTTTTCTTTTCATTCTTTTTTCATGGAAGTCTCCTACATAACAGGGATTAACATTTACTGTGCATTTATTATGTGCCACACAGTGACAGTATCTGAAGGAGTTGAGAAAGTGCCACCCCAAAATATACCACCTTGAACTTCAAACTGAGGGCATTTGGGGAACAGCAAATTCAGGGAGGGGTTTCTGAACTTTCCTTATCTGTCTAAAGACATGTTCTCCAAAAGGAACTCAATTGTTATGAATCCCCTCCCTGGAAATCTCATCAACCAGGGAAGAATAAACCCATATTACAAGAGAGGATACTGGAGGTTAACATCATGTCCAGATGAACTTTGTCACAGGTTGTCACCTATTCTGAGGTCCCATTTATCTTTCCCCAAAATCATTTACTCCTCCTAGTGGTCTCCTTCCCCCCTCCCCTCTTTCCTTTGAAGAGAGTCTATAAGCTTCTAGATCTCACTAGGTTGGGCATTCACTTTTTCTTTTGTGTGATGTCCCCATGCATGTGAAAAAATTTGTATACCTCCTATAGTTTGGATGTGGTTGTTGCCGCTATGAAATCTACGTTGAAATTTGATCCCCAATGTTGGAGGCGGTGCCTAATGAGAAGTATGTTGGTTATGAGAGCAGATTGCTTGTGACTAGATTAATGCCCTCCCTGGGGATGAGTGCATTTTTGCTCTGTTATTTCCCTCCAGAACTGGTTTTTAAATAGAGCCTTCTCCCCACCCCATTTCTCTTGCTTCCTTTCTCTCCATGTGATCTCTGCACATGCTAGCTCTCCTTCACCTTCTGCCATGAGTGAAAGCAGCCTGAGGTCCTCATTAGATGTCCAGTCCTGAACTTTTTCCAAACATCAGAATCATGAGCCAAATAATCTTTTTTAAAATAAATTAGTCAGCCTCAGGTATTCATTTATAGCAACACAAAGTGGACTAAGATAATATCTTTTCTCCTATTAATTTGTCTGCTGTCAATTTATTTCACAGACTCTATTACCAAACCATTCGAGGATAAAGGAAAGCCTTCCCTCTCCTACATATCCTGTTTAAGTACAGCTGTCTTGCAAAATATACTGTCATCTCTGTTTTGCAGATGAGAAAACTGAGGCTCTATAAGGGAAGCAAAAAACACTTGTCCTAAGTCACATAGCTTTTAAGTGACTAAGGTGGGATTCAAATCAGGATCTAAGTCCAAAGTTTGTGATTCTTTCAACTGTCTGGTTATCACTAAGTAGGTCAGATCTTTGTGTCAGTTATTTAGTCTGTGGATTAACTAGAGCTAAGGGGTATTTAAAACCAGTCCCTGCCTAACTCATTAGCATATTTCACTCAATTGATGGGTATTCAAGGGTTGTCAACATATTTTGGATGTTTATTATTCAGGAGTTGTCAATAAATATTGTTTTGCTTTTTGCGATGGAGTTTTGCTCTTGTTGCCCAGTCTGGAGTGCAACAGCACAATCTCAGCTCACTTCGACCTCCACCTCCCTAGTTCAAGTGATTCTCCTGCCTCAGCCTCCTGAGCAGCAGGGATTACAGGCGCCTGCCACCAGACCTGGCTAATTTTTGTATTTTTAGTAGAGATGGGATTTCACCATGTTGGCCAGGCTGGTCTGGAACTCCTGACCTCAGGTGATCCACCCACCTTGGCCTCCCAAAATGTTGGGATTACAGGCATGAGCCACTGCTCCCAGCTATATTATTTTAATATTAGGCCCAGACAAACAAAAGTAGGAAGGGAAACTTGATGGGACAGACAGGCCAGTGAGGTATTTACAAACCAACTATATGAATTTTTGGATTATTTATTTTTCTGGATTATCCACAACTCCCATAACAGCACAAGTGAGAGGATAATTGCACAATTTTCATTCGGTTCTATTTCCTTTGTATCTTTCCACAATGTATTATGCAGCTCTTCACCCAGGAAGTGTTTCATAAGTGGTATGGACAGTTCCCTTTTTGGAATTCTAGGTAGTCTAAATTACCAAGATTTCATGTCATATTCATTTGGCAAACAATATTGGTGCCTAGTATGTGGTAGATGCTATGCTAGGTATTAGAAATATCAAAATAGAAAGGACACAATCCTTACTATCAAGGAGCTCATAGTTCAGTGGTAAAAAAAAACAATGTGAAACATTCAAAATGCAGTGTGGTAAGTGATATCATGGAGGTATGCTCAGAGTGCAATGAAAGCATAAAGGAAATCTGGTTGGAGTGAGTTGTGGGGCCATACCAGAGAGAATATGTGAATTGATTCTTGAAGAATTTGTCAGGTTTTCAAGATAGAGGCAGTCTTGACAAAGAAACTAGCTTGTGCAAAGGCATGGAGGTGTGAGAAGGGTCAGCAAATTTAGTAGTGTGCAAGCTTGGCTTCCTTGTAAAATGGTGGGAGATAACGTTGGAGAGACAGATTAGAGGTCATGTTAAGGAGCTTACATCTTGTCTCCCATAGTACATGAGATCAGACAGGTAAGGTGAATGAGTAACAAGGACCGTACTGAAGGATAGAAGAAAGAGGTGGTGATAGCTGTGGAACATGATTGTTCATGCTTGTTTCAAAAGTACAGTTCTAAGCTGAATATAGCCAAATGGGAATGTGGATCCAGAGTTATCAGGTCTTCTGGTTTTTTAACAGAAAAGCAGGAAATCTGGACTTTTAAAAATGTGAAATCTCCAGAGTTCCAAAAGCTGACAACTGTTTTCTTTTTTTTAATTCAAAGGTTTAGTTGATACTGCACCAAACACAACACATCTATTTGCTGGATATGGCCTGCAGGCTGTCATTGAGACCTGTGCTTTAGGGGATAGGATAGTTATGGAAGCATAGAAGCTAACTGAAGGAACACTTCAAAACACTTAAAAGATAACCACATACATTCCTCTCTGGATTGCCCCGTTCCCACATTTCTACTGCATATGATGACACATGTTCTTTCTCTGGGGAAAGAGAGGTCCCAGGTCAAATGCAACCCTCAGGGCTTCTGTGGGCAAGGGTGTAATCCAGAGTCTCAGTCAAGTTGTTAAAAGCCTGGCAGAACACGGTAAGGTGAGAGCAGTGTGGCCCTTGAGCATCACCACCACCAGGAGATGGCTGTCATTTGTTTCCTTTTCATTTTAGAGGAAGAAAGGGCAGCCACTTTAAACTGTGTATGCAAGAAAGTCAGCACAGCCAGTGACAACACAGATAAAACACAATGTAAAGGCTGTTAAAGTTCAAACTCCTCATTTTACTGCCGGAGAAATAGAGGCCCCGAAAAAGCACAGTGACTTGCTCAGAGTGACCCAGCAATCTAGTGGCAGAATGAAGTCTCCTGACTCCTGGTCTAGCATTCTTTCCAATAACCCCAGCCTGTGATAATTAAAATAAATCAGCCTGGCAGTTTTCCTAGCATCTAGAATTCCTGGACTGGACAAGCAGGACTTGAGAGCAGCTGTTAAACACCTTTTTTCCCCTTGGCTCTAGGATGATGATATTCTTTGTGAACTTTATATTTCATGGGTAGAGGTTAAGGAGAAGACAAAAAGATGTTTTTGAAGCACTGAGACCATTCAAAAGTGTATAGAGAAAAGTTGTCTGTGGCTAATATATTAAAGGCTTATGACCTCTGTGCTCTCTGGACTGATCTGCCAGCAGATGCTTTTGTTTTTGTGTTTTGTTTCTCTTCTTTCATCTTCTTTTCTATTTCTCTCTCTGTTTTTCTTCTCTTCCACCAGCCTAGGTCTTAGGCCTATATATAAGTGTTCCTGGGCATTGCTGAGCCTCCTTGATGACACTCCAGATGCCTGCTGCAAGTCAATAAAATTGTTAATTATTCATTACTCAATTAATAACATGAGAATGAGAGTGCATAGTGACTACAAAGCATATATGTTTCCCCTTCTACAGTCATTTTGCTTTTTATTATCTCAGACTAGTTACTCTTGTCAATTGTGACTCTTGATTTAACTAATCCTTTCCATCCTTCATTTCAGGGTCTATTGTTCTGCTCTTTGCCACTTTTTTTTCTCTGAACCCGTTTGTGATTGGTGCAGCTGTTGAAGATGCTGCAGTTACAGCAGTGTACATCTGGAACATTTGGCTGACTTGTTGAACTTCCCCCAGGGAGTACTCCAGGAGAAGGATGGGAGGGGTGGAGAGGCCGGAACAGTTGCCTGTAAATAAAGATGCCAATGGTGTCTGGCTATTCTATGGACCTCCCTTGTAAAAATCCACCTCATTCTGACCCTCAGTTTCCTATCTACTCGCTGAAGGTATATGTTCTCTAATCAAAACTACTGCAGTGGAAGAAATCTATTCTGGCTGTGGATGCTCTCATACAGCATTTTCTGCATTGTACAGGGATCAATAGATATTTGTTGAGTTAATTAATATATCAAGAAATCCTAGGACAGTTTTACCCTTCATGGGACAACATCATTTCAGTTCCACTTGGCATGAGTCAGCTTCTCTGTCACTTAGATTGAGCTTTCAGAGAAGTCACTCCAGGAGTGAGGCTGCTTGAGTCCCACCCATTCCCATAGTTCCCAGGCTCCTAGGTCTCCTTTTCTTCGGGCGAGCCATTGAATTGCAAACACAGCAGGCATGGTTTCATTCCAAACCAAGAGCTGTTTTAATTAGTTTAACGTCTGTTAAACGCTTTGAAGATTGGAAGCAACAGATAAGTACTGGATGATGTTATTAACAACTGCAGTTAATTGCAAACATTTCTATTAATGCTAGTTTCTGCCTCCTTTTCTTTGCTCTACTTTCTTTCCAAGGTTCCCAAATTCTTAGCCTCCCCCTCCTTTCCTCCCAGAACTGGCGCTAAAGGGTTAAACTGGGGCGGAGTCTAGGAATGAAGGACAGCGTCAGTCACCAACTAGGACAAGGCAAGGGGGAAGAGCTGGGTGGGGCGGCCAGGCCGAGGCGAACTCTCACGCCCCAAGGCTCCCCCCACCCCCCCCCCCACCCCCCGAGGCTGGAGGCCCGGCTGGAACGGTACGGGGCGGGGCGCCGAGGCAGGGCGGCCCCTTGGTTGGACGTCCCGGCAGCCGCTTGAGGGATGGGGCGGTGTCGGCCGGGACCTCCTCCTTCATTCCCTCGGCGGGCCGAGCCTCCCCTCTCTCCCGCCCCTCCTCCTCCCTTTCCCACCCCTCGGAGTGGAGCTGCACATGCGGCTGCTCCCTGCTCCGTCCCGCCCAGCCACCGTCGCGCAGGAACGGGTCCCTGCAGCCCCCAGCCGATGGCAGGGCAGTAGCCGCCTGTCAGAGGTCGTGAACGGCTGAGGTAGACGCAGCGGCTCCCGGGCCTCAAAAAAGTGGGTGTCTCTGGAGGCCATGGGCTCCCCGGAGATGGAGCGCAGGGAACCCCTGCCCGCGACAGCGCCGCGGGAGCGGGAGAGCCAGAGCTGCGGCTGTCGCGGGGCCCCTGCTCGGGCGGGCGAAGGGAACAGCTGCCGGCTCTTCCTGGGTTTCTTTGGCCTCTCGCTGGCCCTCCACCTGCTGACGTTGTGCTGCTACCTAGAGTTGCGCTCGGAGTTGCGGCGGGAACGGGGAGCCCTATCCCGCCTTGGCGGCCCGGGCACCTCTGGCACCCTAAACAGCCCCGGTGGCCTCGACCCTGACAGCCCCATCACCCGTCACCTTGGGCAGCCGTCACCTCAGCAGCAGCCGCCTTTGGAACCGGGAGAAGCCGCACTCCCCTCTGACTCCCAGGACGGGCACCAGGTGAGTAACCTAGTAGGGGTGGCGACGGCCCCCTCCCCTCGCGGGTAGGGCGAGGGCCCTCCACCAAAGGGGCCTGGGAGCACTCTGCCACCTCGACCCAATTTAGAGGGCAGGACCAGCGAGGGGCCAGGCGAGCAGTGGAGAGGTTGCCCAAGGCAGGTTGTCTTCGGTCCCTGGCCCAGCTAATCCAGACTCCCTGAGGACCCCTTGAGTTGGAAAGCCTAGCGCGTGCCCGCCGCCCCTGGCTGCGGGCTGCCTCGGGAAAAGTTGGCGACGCTCCCGTCGAGGAGGTGCCTGTGCTGCCCCCCGGCCGACTAACGGCTTGGCTCTTCTGCTCCTGATGAGGTTCTCTGCCCGCGGTGCTTGTTTTTTCGTGTCCAGAGCTGATGCCAGAACCAGCAGGCTCCGCTTTGGAGTTAGAGCTGTAAACAGCTGTAGTAACTGCTCCACGCCTGCCCGTTGAAACAACTTTTAACCGCATTTTCATCGCGGGTCCTTGTGTGCTGACCAGAACGTGGACTTGTTCACACTTACCTGCAATTTGAGACTGATTGTCCTCGGCGTTCTGGTGAGGATCAGCGCCCCTGAGGAATTCTGGTAGAAATATGCCGTCTTGCTAGACAACTTCTGAACAGCAATTTAAAAAATCTATGGAAGTAAAACTCACCCTTTGCATGCTGGTTCTGATTCTAAGCAGGGTAGGTGTGCAGTGGGAAGGGTGGGTGGGAAGTGCTTTTACTGCTAGCTTGAGACCGGGAATCTGCAAATGGAATAATTACTCAGGACTAGTACCCCAAGAGCACTTTGGGGTTTTTTTGTTTTGTTTTGTTTATTTTTGCAATCTTTATGGTGTTTGTGCCCTTATTACCAAACTATTAACTTTGGTGTTTGTTTTCTACTCTTTCTAGCTCTTTATTCAAGTAAATTTAGTGCACTTAACGTAAATATTGTCTTGGTTGCCATATGTGAAACTTAGGAGAAGCATCTAATGATCCTTTTGAGGTGGCTAAAGAATAATAGTAAAATTGTACCTCTTAGGGAAGAGAGCAAGTTGTACAAATAAGTTCCTTGAGGTGAGGGACCCAAGCCTTCTGTATTTACTGCCACATCCAGAGTCATTGTCACAACTCTGTAAACATTATTTCTACCACTTTGACCTCCCATCTAAAGTAGTACACTTGATAAAGGCATCACATTCAGGATAATAGTGTAATGTTAGGACTGATTCTTAAAACAAACAAACAAACAAAAAACCAACTATGTGCATTGTAAAGTTGCCCTGAGCCTTAAAATGTCTTGCTAGCACACTTCAATTTATATAACAGCTTATCGAAGAAGAGAATCAGCAGACATGCTTCTCATACTTGAAACTTTAAACACTGTAACTAAACGATAATTAACTAGGATTCTGACTCCTTTATTTATCTACTGCCACTCCCCTACACCCCAATGCCCAGTAGAAATATTTAGCAGCTGAACATTGATATTCTGTGAAAAGATGAAAGAATTAAACTTCTTCAGTCAAATGGTGGCCAAGACTTTTTGGCATTCCCAATGGACAGAGCCATGTTTACAGACTGAGGATTAGCAGAACAGCTGTACTCTAGGGCTTCTGTAATGGCATAAAACTCTTCCAGGTCTGTAATGGCATTTAGTTACCTGCCCTTTGTATGGCACTAAAATAGTTCTGTCTAGGTTTAAACACAGCTTCCTATCTTCTGTCCTTTATTCTTTCTGTTTTAATATTTTTGAGCAATAGAAGCAAGGATACTAGCTCTTTACATTTGTTGACATCAATTGGAATCCGTTTCCTAGAGTTATTAAGGGCTTATACGAGTTCATTTCATTTGATTCCCTTGGGAAACATAGGCCCTAAAGGGAAAGTGACTTGCCCAAGGTCACATAACTAGAGTCAAAACTGGGATGAAAGTTACTCTCTTAATTCCCATTTCAGTGCCCATTCCCCCAACTACCTCCTGGGACCTTTTTTGAGGGAGCAAGATGGAGCTCCATATTAGAACTTTTACAAAGTAGAGGGCTCAGATCTGCATCATTTTGTTCTACTCTACCTGTATTTTGACCATACTAAGTTTAACCATGTATTCCTTATTCTTCCTGAACTTCACTTTCAGATTTGGAGTATACTTTGAAGGAATTTTAGCCCAAATTCAACTTAAGTTTATTTTAAATTATTCAACTGAAGTTTATCTTATCTTGTATATTAGTTTTAGTATACAAAAATAAGTTTTTAAAAACAGTTGATTGGGTATTAAATTAATACTGCTACAAGCTTGGGTAAAATTTCTAGTGCCCTGGTGCACCCTCTGCTGGCTTTATAGGGCCATTTAATTGTGTCTGTTGACACTCAGAATTCTACATTGTGCTGACAGATTCTGATTCGGTAAATAAGGAAGTAAACAGCCTTGTGGGATTTGGGCACGTAGGCCATATTTCTATATTTTAGTTTTTCAACACAAACAACTGCTGTTATAGCAAGTCTTGGATGGAGAGGAAGAAAGATAAAAATATACACCCTTCAACAGGCAGTATATTCAGGTTTCTTACCAGTTTATCTGCAAGGAGTGAAGGCAACCTGATGAGAATAAGCTGCAGGAAGTTCTCATGAGACCAAGTGGGCAGAACAGTCAGAGACACTTCATGCAGGTAGGCAAAAGTAAACCTATCTATGTTTATGAGATGATGGGCTCTAGGCTCTCAGTTATGACTCAAGAAAGGGATCTAGAAATCACTGTAGATGTATGTATATCATCTCTCAATTTAAAAACTTTTTAAGCAGGGCACACAAGGAAGTTAGGGCAGGTGGGATACAGAGCATAGAGATCAGCACAGTTCTCCATGTGAAATGTTACTAAAGTCTCCCCCATGGGGACACACTTGCTGATGATAAAGTGAGAGAGTCATATCATACCTTCTGTAATTAACCATCTACTTCAGTGGGAGCAACTAAGTAGCTGCAGATTTATCTGGATAGTTGGTGGAGATTATCTCAAGAGTAAGGGACATCTCATTTGTATCTGAATTAGGACAATGTAGAGTAATATGATTGCCAGAGTAAAAAAAAATAAAAATCACTGTTGATCATTTGTGGAGATGTTGTTCCAGTTGTGATTGTGGTCCTAAAAGGCCAAGAACATAGTGGATATCATCAGGAAGGATCTCAAAAACAACAAAACAAGACACTTATTTTTTTCTACATACAAGATCAAAAGCAGGTTAACTTCTACAATCGGACAGGAAATTCTGGTGGTTGCTTCTCAAGAAAAGCCTAACAGCTGATAAAAGTCCCCAGAAACCCCATTAAATTGATCAAAAGAATGGAGGGATTTTCGAGTTGGTTTTTCATTCTGGATAGAAAGACTTTGAAGGAGGAATATGATCAAAGTCTACCAAACCATGAGCAAGATAAGTATGGTTAATATATTGGTATAACTTAATAATCCAGTTCAATAAATAGAAAGCCTGCTGTGCCAGACACAATTGGATATATTTTAGTGTTTGAAAAATTATTTTCAAGGGGAGGCAAATAAAGGTAGCATCTTATTCAACTCATTGTCTCAAGTAATAGTCAAAATTATGGGTAAATCAATATGGATTTTAGAACTGTTAGGGCTATTTGCAATATGTTCCTAAGTATTTGAAGTGATGTCATAGATGTCAACCTTAAAGTTCTACAAAACATTGCTTGACATATCTAGATAGACCATTAGTCTATCCAGAGTTGACATTACCTGTGTTAAGGCTCTTGGATTGAGAACATAACTAGGAATCATTCAAGGTGATTCAAGGTGAGCACAATGAATAAATCCAAGGATTTTTTTAGAGAGGTAAGATCTGGATAAAATACCTTTATTGTGGATTTAAATACAGACTTTAGTATGAATTTAAATACAGACTTTAGTGTGACATTCAAGACTTTTGATCAACTTGCTTCATTATACCCATCCCATTTTCTCTCTCACTAATTCTACTGCAGCTCCCCCACCATATCCTATCTTAGAATCATTCTTTAGTTGTTATTGCTGTTGTTGTTTTTAAATACATTTTATGTCTTTATATTAGAGCACCTCAGAAATCTGACTTCATTTTTGTCTTTCTCTACAGTGCCTGATACAATGCTAGTTACAGTTACTATACTCAAATACTTGTCGAGTTGGATATTATTTTGGGACTTTGGAGGTATTTATGTAAAACAGACATTTTCTCTTTATATAACAGGCCTGTTTTCCTCAGGTCTTGCTAAGCCTGTGACCTGTCAGCTATGCTTAGGTGAGTAAATAGTTCCAATGGAAATGTTTCTCTGATTTCTAGAATAATTAGAAAGTGAAATGGAGATGAGCCTTAACCACGTGGTCAGTCTCCCAGTTTCACACCTTCTCTCTAAGATGGTGCAAAAAGCTTCCTATAATATATTGTTTGATGTTTTGTTTCATTTGCTTTTAGTCTCATATATTTCATTCTGTCTTAGACCTTGTGAAAAAATAATCTGTAATTTATCTGTAGCTATCTTACAGAGAAGATCTTTTTATAATAGAGAACCTCTGAAGCCATTTAATTCCCAAGAACATTACCAAGAGAAACCACCTTGCCTGTAGAGGACCATTTTATCTGACTCCTCTGTAAATACTCGGCACTTAGCTTTTCATTTTATTTCTTTCATTAAAAATTATTTCTTTTGAAGAATAACTCACATACAGAAAAATAGACAAATCATATTTGTACAATTTGATGAATCATTTCAAAGTGAATATACTCATGTCACCAGAACCCAGGTCAAGAAATAGAACATTATTATATGCCACTACTCCTACTTACACCCTATTGTTATCACTGTATCTGCCTCATTCTCTCAAGTTCTAACATCATAGATTAGTTTTTTACCTTTCTCCACGGTGCCTGACATAGTGCTAGTTGGATTAGTTTATTAGTTTTGTTCATTTTGAACTTTATATAAATGAAATCAAACAATGTGTATTGTTTTG